TAGGCATCCTACTTAGAGAACTTTAAGATAAAATATTTTTATCCATATCTAAAGTCAGTAGTCTTAGGGCTGGTAAGATAGCTCAGCAGACTAAGCGCCTCCTTAGGCAAGTGCAAGGACTGGGACTCGATCCCTGGAACCACATGCCACACCGGCCCCGCCTCTGGGCATGCTGAGCTAGCTACCAAGTCCAGGCGTGGTGGCACATGCCTGTAATCCCAGCGCTGAGGAGGCTGGGACAGGAGGATCACTACAAGTCTGAACTGCATAATGAGACCCTGCACAAAATACAAGAAAAACAAAACTAAAAATAAACTAATAAAGTCAGTAGTCTCGTAGCCATTAAGTCAGGAACCAAGTTAGCCCTATGCAGATCATAGAGCTTTTTGCTCAAGATAGAAAGGACACCTTTCTACCACTGAGCTGAGCTGTCTTTTAAAAAGTGCCTTTCAGAAAGACAGAAAAGAGAAGTGATTCTCTCCAAGGCTGATGGGGAGAAGAAGGCAACCGGAGACATGTGCAGCTTGAGGGCACAGGATTTCTCCCTCTTGAGCCAGTTAGGTTTGTATCTTAAGAAAGGAGCCCGTCCACGGACAAATTAGGAGAGGAGGACACATGTAAATGGGACGCAAGAGACATTTGGCTAAAATAGTAGGAAAATTTTCCTGGAGCTTTTAAGACCCCAGAAAAGCCAGGCACAGTGGTGCATGCCTGTCAGCTCAGCACTCTGAGAGTATGAAGTAGAAGGAGTAGAGGGCTTAACACACAGTTTACTGCCAGGGCTCTGGATTCAGTCACCACTACTGGATATCCTGTCTGCATCTTGTACTATGAATAACCACCAAGACAGCAATATGCAATGTATTGATTATTGAAACTGTTCTACTAATCAGTTTTGAAACTGTCTCATTGCTATTTGTTTCTCAATAAAATTATTTTTTTTAAAAAGAGAATGAAGAGACATTGCCTTGAGCCATTTAAAAATATTTAATATAATTAATAAGGAAAAAAATGAAAGACAAAAAAGAAAAAAAGAAAAGAAACTCCAGAGAATTCCCATGAGCTCCGTGGGAGGCTACATCTAACAGCAGGAAGAGTGAAGACACAGCAGAGCTTCAGAGTAATCCGAGGAGGAGGCCTGATTGGATGCGGGTGTCGGGGTGGGGGGTAACGCAGGCGCACTCGCTGTAGCATGCAGGCAGGAAATCCTTCCCTGTGGTGCTAAGAATTTCACATGTAACTCAAGTTTTGGATCAGGATGAAGGACTTCATCCTTTCATTCCGGGAATGAGCTCCACTTGGTAATGTTGTACAATCCCTGCAGTTCACTGCGGCACTTAGTTTTCTTTTCTTGTGTTGAGGAATTGTGTGTTGACATTCAGTGTTCGTAGGTCTGTAGACTTTGCAGTATTTTTTTCAGGCTGTGGGATAAGCATGATACTGGCCTCTAGGATGAGTTAGGAAGAGTTCTCTACTCTTTTTCAGAAAAGTTTGAGAATAATTGGTGTTCGTTATTAAATGTTTGGTAGAATTCACCTGTGAAGCCAACAGAGCTAGAGATTATGTTTGCTAAGAGATTTTTTTATTAGTGATCTAATCTCCTTATTAGATTCAGATATTCTCGTTCTTTACAGGCTAGTCTTGGTAGATTTTGCATCTACAGGACTTTTTCCACTTTATCCACTTCATCCAATTTGCTGGCATAAGATATGAATGTAGGAAATCCTGACATGCTATTATTATAAATGGATTAGGTAAAGTGTAAGTGCTTAAAAAATAACTCGAGTCTATTTCAACTAAAATATGAAAGTGCTGTAACAAAGACTGGTAGCAAATTTAACAAGGAATTTGGCAGTAATTACAATTATAAGCAATTATTCAAGCGTCAAAAGCATAATTTTACTTGACTTGGGTATTATCATGAAATAAATCTAAATATTTATAACAATAAACTAAAAGATATTTAACATATAAATATTTGGAGCTACTATCAACAAAGTAAAATTGGAAAGGGGACAATATAGAACACTCAAATTAGATTTCCAAACTCTTCTCTCCAGAAAAATCAAGAGCGCACTGTGTTTCCCCTCCTTTCCCTGTTCTCACGTGGTCATGGGTGAGGGAGCTCTCTTATCAGGAAATTCAAATCCACCTGGCAGTTTGTTTCACAAAAACGTGAGTATTTGATTTTGACTTGAGTAACATTCAACTGCACATGGCTTGTGCTCATGAAATACCTACCATAAAACTCATGAATATCAACGTTGAACAGTTTATTCTGCTATAATTCTACAAAACTCATAACTTTCTATGTTTATTTATTTATTTATATTTATTTATTTTGTATTTTTTAGGGAAGGGTCTACAGGGTGTTCAGGGTCTGACTACTAGATCGGACTTGTAGTGATCTGACTGTTTACAGTCTCCCAAGTGCTGGGATTACAGGCGTGTGCCACCATGCCCAGTCCCAATTGCTGCCTCAGTGCAGGGGTGTGGGGAGCACATTGCAGGCCCAGGAATCACACCTCTGGCCCCTGCCCTTCTATGTTTAAATAACAAGAGTACTATCAAAGTCTGAGAGAATTATTCTATAGTTTTCTTGCTGCATGTACCCATTCAAATAAAAGTGGATCCCTAAAAGTATATAAATGGCTAAGCTACTTAAAGAACATTTTGTTTCTTTAAAACCTAAATATTTTACTTTTTATTGATAATCTATTTATCAGAATGCATGCTCTTGGTCCATATGGCACAGTGTTGGATTGTTAGCACTGAAAACAAAACAGCAGAAATACTAAATAATTTATGAATTCTGAAAACTGATTTTTTGGTTCAGAGGAAATACAATTTATCTTATGGAAAATTATAGATGCATTTACAATAGTGAGGTCATTCTAAATCAGTCAGGATACTCCATGAAACAAATCCCTGTGCAGTTAACCAAATTGGTAAGTATTTAAATATTTTTAATCATAAAATCTAGCTTCCCTTCTGCCTCTGTGAAGGAGTTGATAAACAGACCCAACCCAGTAAGGCTACCAGAGCACATTTCACAGCACCACTGTGTCTACAGAATGGAATACTTGCTAAAGTAGATGTCGTTTACCACGTAAGCTGGGCAAGAACGGGGATCGCAGACATCTTCCTCTCAGTCGCAGGCCGTGGTGGTGTAGCAGGTTCTGACTCTAGGTGCATTTACTAAAGGACCCCACTGAAGAAAAGAGCACTTCTGCTCTTTATAATTTGCTTCAGGTGAAAACATATTTATTTCATGATAGTAACACGTTTCTAGAGTTCAAGATGAAAAGACTTTATTTAATACTATGCTTTCAGAGCGAGCATACTCACCCCATCTGGCCTGCCATCTGAAGCCGTGACAATCAGAATGTAGCGGTCTGTGCTTTCCCTGTCCAGAGCTTTGCCTAAGGTTAGAATCCCTGTACTAGGGCCACAGAAACAAACAAGACACAGAGAGAGACATTATGTCACCATGAGTGTTCATACTTCAGTGAATTATTTTTGATAGTCCCTTTTTCCCTGTAGGTAATTATACGTTGAGTATTTACAGTGCATAAAACTAGCATGCAAATTAAAAATTGCAAAAGGCTTTTTAGGATATCAACATTCTTAAGAATAAAGATAAGATGCAAAACTGAATAAGGTAACAGAGATTGTTCTCTAGGTCCTTGAAATAAAGGACGAGCAAAACAAAACATGCTTAATCTATTCTAGGAAAAATGATAGCTATTTACGATTATTTCAAAAGTAAATGAAACCATTATTTTTTTTGGCAATGACAATATTGTGTGTCAAGTACAGTTTCTTCTAAATAAGCATTATCTTCTCATTTATTGTGGTATATTCATTATGAAGATGCAAGTCACTAAATTATATCAATGACATTCTATACTAAAAGTTTATATTTCTTTCTTATTTCAAAATAGTTGAAGTTTCTTATAAAAACTATGAAATATAGAGAACTTTTAATACTTTTAAGATTATGGTTCATACCTCAGTGTTTATTTTTATAACTACATTTAAATACATATTTTTCTATGAAGAGGACTTAAGCTATTCTACATTCTTCTATTAAGATATGAGTATCAATAATTTGCCTTATAGCACATAAATGTAAACTCTTTGTATATACTATGAATATTGTCCTTTTGTTACTTTTTTAAAAATGTGGATGATTCTCAATTTAATTCATATATAATGGGATATGAATAATCTTTGGATAGACTCATATATATATATAGAGAGAGAGAGAGAGATAGAGAGAGAGAGAGAGAGAATATATTATTACAGCTACTTACTTTTTCAATGTTCAGAATACATCCCAAGTATTTGCTTTTTTATTATCCATTATAATTTTTCATAGCAATTTGGTCATTTACATTGCTCTCTAAAATAATTTGAGTTTGAGTTTTTTACATTTTGCGACCTATTACACCTGACATTTTCATTAACCCTAACAAGCACCTACTGTGATGGAAAGTTTATCTTAAGATAATAAAACATTAACATATTTATCAGGTCAGGTATAAAAACAAATTTGGTTTTGATTAATCAAAAGGTTTCATTTTACTCTGGTTTTATTGTCCATGGAATTTAAACAGTTCACATTCTGTGTTAAATGAGTATGAGAATTACAGGTAATGAATCAAAATCACAATAACCATAGTGGCATTTTCATCCATTTTAGCTTGTGTTCATCATGATTTTAGCCTTCAAAAAAGATCTAAATATTTGTTATGTCTATGACAACCTGGCTTTGCTTCTTGTCCATCTTAAAAAAATTTTGTCAAAAGAACTGAGAACCAATTCCCAGTGTATATTCTAAATAACCAGGTTTCTACCAATTCCCTACACCACAGATGGTTCACCTAATCCATTGTACAGTGACATTCAAAAAGCTAAGACAATTATTGCTTCTAAGATTTACTTGAAAGTAACTTGAGAAATGGGAAATCTGAAAATCTAACCATAACAAAAGAAAAGAAAACCTTTCTTCTCTCCCTCTGCTTAAAGTACTGATTACTATATTTCTCTTCTATAGTCCTTTTAGCATAGTAAGTTAGAATATTAATACTTAGTCCTATACCAGTCTTCTTAAGGGCCATATTTTTTATGGCTAACTAAGTTTTCATGGTCTGGTGATTATAATTGAAATAGTGGATTGCTTAATATGATGTCTATTGTCTGAACCAGTGTTGTAGGCAGTTAATAGGTGAATGTCGTATTACAGGGTGAAAAATAAAAAAACTTGTAGTAACTTTGGTATTTATAACTGAAGGGTTACTTTATGAACACACATGACATCTTCTAATGGAATTCCTGAAATAGCTTGCAAGGATTCTTACTACCAAGTACTTGAAGTACTTAGAGTCTATTAGGACAATACATTGGACTATATTTAGGAACACAAAGAACTTTGTAAATTTTCCTAGTGACAATACATAAGCCTCACTTCTGAAGAAATATCAGTAACAGTACTACTTCCATGTACGAGGACTGAAAACTTATCTCACAGGAAGGATGTCCTGAATGGGGAAGAGCATCTTAAGAGACAGTGTCATGATAAAAACATCGAGACATCAAAAGAATTCAGGAAAAGTTAGAAAAAATGTGGTAGAACTTTGAAAATCAATCAGAAGTTTATGGAAACTAAAACTCAGAATAAAGAAAATGTCAACTTAAAATAAAAGGTTAATGGCTTTTTATTTGCTTTGCCTAACAGCCTCTTAAAAACAATGGTCAGCATTCTCCATATGACACCCAGATCCCTGTTTCCGAAGGGGCAGGGCTGTGTTTATTTACAAAGAATTGTGATGCTGTAATCTAACATGCCTTCTCTACTTAAAGAAAGAACACACAGCACTTTGCTTTTTTTTCGTGGAACTTAGAACTCCCTTGTTCAAGCTAGAAAAGTAAAGCGCATTTTTAAAAACCATCATTTGAGAAGGAACTTCAGGCAACAAGATTAAAGTTACAGCATAAAACAGGGTGTCAGCTCTTATGGCATTCAATAGTGCTTTGAATGGAAAATAGTAAATAAAAATCAAAAATATATCCATACATCTATGGTCAATTGATTTTTTTTTTTTTTTTTTTTTTTTTT